TACATGTTTGAGCCCTTGCCTCGCAACGCTGCCAGTTCTGTTAGCTCTATGCCTGCCGAAGACACAGACGTCCATCCCCGTGAACACTGGGACTGAAAATTATTCTTATTTCAACTGTTGCATATATCAGCTGCGACATATGAATCAAGATGTTATAACCAAAAAGATTTGATTGACAGATAACCATTGATATATGATTGGCCGAATTTAGGTGTACAGGCTGACGTATAACTAACTGGCCTGCATAAAATAATAAAAAAACCCCCACAGATTTTAAGACAGGATTCTTTAAATAGAATTTTTCTAACTTTTGGGACAATATCCTCTTATAAAGAGTACATTTATATACATGTTTAGGCCAGAATGTGACTTCCCTATGACTTTAAAGGCAGGTGACTGAGAGTAGAATAATGTTAATTTAAAGTTGAGGCTCAGGTTTATTTTTAACTTTAATTTAATGTCCAAACTTTAAAAGTTCATGTCTGATTAAATGTATTTAGTTTTATTTTAGTATTTACTTGCTTTTAAACAGGACCGGATAGAATGCAGATTCAACATTACAATAAATTGTGAAATACATGGTGAGTAAATAATTATTTAATTATAGTGTTTTATTGCCAGCTTTTGAACCCCCTCCAGATTTTTCAACCTTTTTGTTTTCTTTGGAACCTTACTTTAAGAAAACTATATTTTTAAATTCAGCATAATTATCAATATTTGATTTACGACAAGGACTGAAATGAAGGGTGGAATCACTTTAAAGGAAAATAAAACATGGCTGTGTTTTTAATAAGCTGTTTTAATCTGTGTGTGTTCTGGGTAATCCGGTTTATGCATCAGAGCGAGGACCGTTTTCCGATCTCACCATCAGTTTGAGGTTATTTTGGGGATCCTTATTTTTTTCCTACAGGGGACAAATTTGTGTTTTTTTGGAGATAATTTCTTTATTTATTTATTTTTTCTTTTACTCATACTTTGCTCTGTTATCTCTGCATCTCACAGAAGAAATAAAAAACAAAAACAGGCCCTTGATGGACTTAAGTAAATTGTGATGCACTTTTGTCAAATGTTTTTTTTTTAATCAATTAATTTGACATTTACAATTTTGATCGCTTTCATAACTTTGAAATTACTCTTTAAGTTTGTTGTTTCTTTCAATTTTGTGGTTTCTTGCGATAATTGTGTGTGAGGTTTTTCACAGGTCGGATGCATTGGTACACATCAGCATGACTTCACATGAAGCAAAAAACTTTTTCTTCTTTCGTTGACTGCATGTCATTAGTGTTTTTTTCTTGTTTTTTAAAAGGTGACTCACTCAAGATCACAAAAATATCCTCTCTATTTCAGTTGATTCATGTTATTACTTGATAAAATTAAGTATTTTCTTGTTTAGAGAACAAACCAAAAACTTTAAGCCGTTGTTGGTGTTAAAATCTGAGGTTCAGGTTATTTTCAACAGCAACATTAATAAATGTTTTGTTTCACACCGTCTTTATTTAACATGCTATGTTTTTTTTTTCTAGGAACCCAAACATATTTCAGGGTTTCACCTTTATACAGTGTGATTGTGTCATGGTAGGTAAAGCTTATCTCTCTGCTAACATCGTTCAACCTCTAAAACACTCTTTCTTTCTATGTCCACCACATATAGTGGCATTAACATAAACAAATCTTGCAAATTCAGTTTTGTTTATAAGATATTAGTTATCACCTCAACACATTTCAGTTTAAGTTTCCTGTTTATTTTTATTGTCCTTATTGTGCATGTGAAACGCCTAAAATTGTACCTTCTATCAATAGGCATAAAGTCATCTTGTCCAACTTAAAATATCATTAGAATGTCTGTGTTCTTTACCACCTCCTCCGCATTTTCTGTGCAATCCGATGATGGGGAATCACATGCAGAGTGAAAACTTCCTCTCCTCCTGCGTGGGGGTGTCATCTCTGATGGAACCTATCAGGCAGTCCATATTGTGGCCCACGGACCATTTCTGGATCAATTCTGTTTCAAAACCGCTGTTTCAGTGTGGAGCAAATTTGGCTAGTCTGTGCAAAGCATTTATGTGGGTGGACATCTTTGAATTTACCAGCATGAGAAAATTCTAAATTTAAAAAAAAAAGCTAAAGGGGAAAAATATGTTTTTCTTATTCACTCATTAAATTTTCTGGATTTTTGTGGTCCTACAAGCTATAAAATGAGTTTCTGATTGATTATAGTAAAATGTTTGTGGTGCAGTTCTACTTTGAATTGAAATATTTTGACCTCATCAAATATCAAAGCAACTTATGGTCCTATACAGAAGTAAACAACATTACTATAAATGTTATCATTTAATTCTTTTCCAGTTGCATAATGGTTAAACAGCATTTTTATTAAAATAATCGTTCTAAATTCCATAGTTGCTTAATATTATCTGAGAAAATGTGGAAAAACCCATTTGGTGTGGATACCTTTGTAAGGGGCGGTTTAATTACTCTTTATTATCAGTGAAATGCAGCTCTGAAGACAGAAGTGAGGCATATTTTTTTAATTAAAATGATTAAAAACTACATTATCTGCAAACTTTACAAGCACTCATATGGAAGCATTACTGGTTTCAGCACATACACATTTTTTCTTTAAATTAACATATCCGTTTAAGATGTACATGCTTTGAGCATAGAGAGAACCGAGGAGCAAAGAATGACTTAATGAAACGAAAGTGAAACAGGTTCTTTTAAAAAGAAAGTTGATGGAACATTGTGCTCTTTAATTAAACATACAAAATACGTAGCACTGACTTGTACACTGTGGCTTCATGGGTTTTGCATAAACAAGGACAATAAAGTTCATTCAACACACAGATGAGTTGCCACAAATCTCAACATTAAAACAGTTTTACAGGCAGTTTGTGTAGATCTTTGGTTTTCATTTCAAAAAAACACATCAGTATGTGATTTCTCTAGCTGCATGATAGTTTTTTCAGGTTTTTAACCAAGCAGAGGTTTAAGAAGGCTGAGAATACAACATGCTTTTTCTTTGGTAGAAAAGAGAAAACATTTGCGGAATAAAGCGGAAAACTTCTTGCATACATGTATCTCTTCACCTAAGCTCCAAATACAACATCTTTGGATCAGTCTTCACCCCGAGATTAAACCTCAGCTGTGTAGCAACTAGATATTCATCTCTGAGACATAACTATTGTCTTGTAACTTTCAGACACCTGATATGTGTTGTAAATACGTTAGCCCAGCACAGGAGAAAATGATCTGCACAGGCGTGTGAACAAATGCCAGAGCATGATCAGTAAATTAGAGCAAGAGGGACAGTCGTGACCACAAATGCTTCAAAGCATTGCTGATTATTTAGAACAAAGGGACCTGTGCAGAACAAGAGACTGCCCAGAGTGTTGGATAAAAAAGATCCCACCCTCGACCCCTTCTCTTCTTTCTGTCCCCTTAAAAAGGCCCTGGGGACAGTGGGAATGTGCAGACACGCCTGTGCTGCAGGATTGTCATTAACTTTTATTAATTTTTTTTCAAAAGGACACTTGAATTGTGTTTAAACCTGTGCAGAAATATTTCATATTTCACTCTGCACAATTTCAAATAACCAAATAAAATATAAAAAAGTAGAAAAAAGAAATAGTGCAAAAAAATAGCTTTTTTATTTATTTTGTAAGCGCAGGAAGGCAAATTGTAAATAGTTTCAAAGATCATGCACTGGAAAAATTGAAATCTAGATAAGTAATTTTTTTCTTAAAATAAGTGCATTTGTTTTTGGATTGAGGAGGTAAAACAGACATTTTGCCAAGGAAACAAGACAATTTACAATTAAAACAAGAAAACATAATTGCATTGTATTATATCAACGGTCTTAATATATAATTATCTTATTTTAAGAGTAAAAATACTCATTACCTTGGCAAATTATCCAATTTACCTACTCAAATTAAGGGTAAAAACACTTAATTTAAGAAATTTCAACTTATGTCTAGATAGTTTTTTCCAGCGTGGCTCTAGGATCTTTTTGGGCATAGTTCATTTGGAATAAAGGTTTTAGTGCACCAAAGCTACATTGGAAGGCAACAAAGTTACGTTAAAAGTATTTTTTTTTTCATAATTTAGTTGCAATATATTACAAAAACTCCAAATTCATACTTAACAAACATGGTATATATACTGCTTAAATGCTTATAAAAAAAAGGAAGAATGAAAGATAAACGATTAAGGATTTGGGGTATTTGCATACATTTCCCCAAATTTTGGCTCAAATAAATATCAAGAGTTAACCACGTCATCCAGTTAAAATAATAGAGGAAATAAATTCAGACAAGGTCTTTAAAACCTTTCGGGGGAAAAAAAGAAGTAGAGAGAGAAGTTGGAAAATTTCTGAGTACAGACAACAGGACTAGACTTATCTGCAGAAAATAAATCGAACCATATTTGCCTTTGACATTCCTTCAATTATCATATTTTGTCCTGCTCGAACGCGATACACTGATGAAACAGCAGAGAATTCATTTCTGAAACTTGAAAAAAGGCTTCTCTCTAAATAATGCAGCAATTGTTCTGAGACATTTCATCTCTAACCAAAAGGTGAATGTCTCGTTGTGGATAATAAATAGACCAATAGGTTCTGCAGAAGTACTCTGAGCACATGAAACAGCCCTGTATGCTTAGAAAAACATTTTTACATCTGATGCAAATTTTTTACAAAAATGAAAAGCTTAAAAGGACCGATTGCTACAGCAGTGCAGCCATGCTTTGCGAGGAGTCGGTCATGGAGCAGAAAACCAGTCTGACTTCTCTTCTGCAGCAGCCAAATGAGTTGCATCAGTTTGTTTGATGAATGTCTGCTGTGGTTTTCAGCTCATCAGCTGTACTGATTGTTTGTACCTCCACGCTGTTGTTCGTTTGACTTTGAGTACCTGTATACATCACGGCGATGGCTTTCTAAGTATTATTTACAGTCTCCGCTGAATGTCGTCTCCACTCATATGGCTTTAGGTCTTAGAGTACAAGTTTCAGCGCAGTGCAAGAGTTCACTCAGAAATTACAAATTGTCTTTAAAAAGTAAAAGCAATAGTCTTTAAAGCGAGAAAAGAGGCAAACATGCAACATTTTTGTTTTTTTTTTCTTCTTTCAGTGTTCGGCTTTGTTGTTCATCTTTATCTTTCCTTCTCCGCCTTCTCTTCTCCCGATCTTCAGCTCTTTTTCAGTCAATATGGCCTCCAGACGGACTCATCCAAGCGACCCGAAGCGCTCATGGCCGTCGGGGAGTTGCTGTGGCTGCCGTCCGCCTCCACGCCCTCACTTTGGGTGTTCAGGCCCGGGTTCATCAGGCTATTGTTCCCTCCAGTGCCCGTGGCCCCCGAGCACGACAGGAGCCGGGTGGGGGAGCGCTCCCCCCCGGTGTTCCCTGGCGCCACCATAGAGAACTGGTAGGATCCGGAGCCCGTACCATAATACAGGTAAGAGTTGGACTGGAAGTTTTGAGACTGGTTATTTGAGTACGGGGGCGGCAGGTAGGTGTGGTATCTGGAGGAGGCAGACATGCTCAGGCCGCTGATGCCGGTGCTGGAGGTGTTGGCAGGGGAAGGGAAGGCCCCCGGGTAGTAGTGCATACGGTGGTCTGAGAAGCGAGGGTCCGTCAGTGGGGACAGAGACGGAAAGGTGGTCCTCTGTGGGAAGAGATCTGTAGTCCCTGCGTGAGACACAAAGACAAAACTATCATTATTCATCCACGACGGAAAACTGCTGCCAACTCTGATGAAGCGGCAAATCAACCATTTCCCTTCTGCAAGCACCAGAAATCTCCATATTAATACACATTTCCAGAGCAGCAAACCTTTCTAAACCTCAATTCTGTGCTCAAATTTCCTCTGATAAACCACTGTATGGAAATATTTGCTCTAAAGTAATGAACTGAGACATTTTTGGCCTGCTAACAGTCATCAAACATTGACAGCACATCATCCCACAACCTCCTGCACAAGACCCAAGTCATGAAAAGGCCCATCTTGAAACTGCCTCTCACTGGCTGTTCAAAAGGAAATCAACGTACCCTGAGCAATGAAAAGGAGCATTGTCAGTGCTGACGGGTGCTTTGTATAAACACCGACGGCTTGTTTCTGTGTTGTGCAACATGTCATAAATCATGCTTAGGTGAAACAGGCAGACATTCACAATTAGATGGCTTGAAAAAGAGAGTTGGGAGGAGGAAGGAGGAGTTTTCTGCATTTGCCTAAATGTGTATAACAGAAGAGATCCTGTCAAAGTTAAACTGGAAGTGTGAGCTTACAGGTAAAGATCTGAATCCTTCAAGATCTTTACAAATGATTTAACAGCCGCAAAGGAAATGTGAATTAAATGAGAGGCTGTCATGCGTGTCGGAACACCAGAAGTTGACTTGGTTTGCTTAATTATCACTTACTTTGAAAACTTCTCTGTAAGATTGTAACACCAAATCATTTTTTTTCAGCTTAAAATGTCTGTATTGGAAAAACTTTTTTTGTATTAAATATTGTTCACCTTTTTTCTTAGAAAGTAAATTGTTTTTTTCATAAGCTATAATAAAAAAAAACATCAAAATGAACAGAAAGCATTTTAAATTTATTATACTGTGATTCATTATTTTATAAGATTAATTTTTTTTTTACTTAAATAAATAAACTTTCTAATCCTATTTGAGTTTTTTATTTTTATTTTGTTTTGGCCTGTACTTAGAATATAAAAAATAAAATAAAGGTATGACTTCCCATGAAATTCAGCTATTTAAAACTAATATAGACCAAAATGTTTTCTGGCTGTGAAGCATGGGCGGTTCTAGACAGGGGCCAAAGGGGGTCGATGCCCATGTAGATGTCCTGCCTCCTGTACCGAAGATATAATACAAAAATCAGTTCTAATGAAGTTCTAGGCACTGGAACAGACATGGTTACTGATAGGTCCTTTGGATCCATTTCACTTTTTTTCTTCAAAAAATTCAGTTTTACTAATTATTTAAAAACAAAAAGGTGACAGCTTCAGTGGTATTGAGATAGGATTCCAGTTTTTTACTGCTAAATGTTTTTTTTTTTTCAAAACAAATAAAAGAAACATAATTTTTTCCGGTTGATTTGTTCGTTTTTTTTTTTTTATTTTTTTTTTTTTGGAAACTTTTATTTTTACTTTAAGTTAGAAATATGTAAAATTCCTAAATTATAAATGTATATTGACCTAATATTTCAAATAATAGCTTTATTTGATCTTTTAGTTTTTTACATAGCTACGGGATTTTTATTTTGATTTTAACGATAATCCAAATGAACATTTTAGAGCTAAAAATAAATATTTTCAGTGGGAATAAATATCATTTTAATTAAACCTAATTCATGCAGCTCTCTTAATATATTTTAATCCCTTGGGATGTTTTTTTGTTACATGTTGGCCCCCTCTTGGCCCCCTGGTACATTTGGTTTAGAACCGCCAATGCTGTGAAGGTCATCTGGAAGAAGTTGAATTTAAGGGAAAGTTCCTCAGAGCGGCTGTTAGCTTCGGGAGCACCACCTGCTGCCATTTATTTATTTATTCATCCACACAGAGCTCAATCTTTACTTGTTAATGTCCGAATGTGGCATTCTGTGGCTCAATGTGCTCACATGACTGTAAGTGTAAAATAGAGATTTGGATAGCGGAGAAAAGAGAGCTTGTATTTATGAAACAGCAAATGCTTGTAATCTTTCACTCCGGGGTGGGGGGGTGGGGGGGTCAGAAGTACGTGCTGTATGGTCGTTTCAATCTTTCTATCTTTGTCTTGGGAACTGGGTCCATTTTCAGCCACTGAAAATAGAAAATGTTCCTTTGCAATTTCTATATCTGCTGATATACTAGCCTTTTTTTTTATTCTTAACACATTTTTTGCATTTTGTTTTCCTTTTCTTTCATCAAAGCAGAAAGTGTCGCTAGTGGGGGTGCTGTTTCTTTTTCAACAGTCTACCAGATTCAGCAGTCGGGTATGTATCTGATTTCATGCGAGGAAAATCCAAGACATCAGCTGCTGTTGATTCTGGTGAAGTGGAGTCAGATTATTTCCTACCGGACTCCCAAAAAGCCTTTGCTCCCTCTCTGCCTGTGTGTCTGTCTGTCTCTGTGTGTGTGTTCCTTAATCTCTCCCCGCCTGGTCTAAATTTAGGCCTAAAGGAGGGGTGGGGGCACCATGATGGCCGTGGCTGCTGCGCACCCACTCTGCTCAGGATCTCTAGCTTTGATTGGAGTTGGTGGAAACACGTTGCCTAAACTCTGGCTGGGATCGACTCCTGCATCCTGTCAGGGGAAACTGGATTGGACACTTATCACAACACCTTAATGGGTTTGTTCAGGCTCAGGCTCTTGGCTGCAAGCCACAAGGTGTCTGCAGACACCTTTAGGCTCCATGGTAAATTAGCTCCCTCTAGAGGAGAGAGAGAGCTAAACAAACTGTAACTAAGCAGAGCTGTGCTTCTTCTTGCTCCTGCATACCTTTTTGCATCCCCACCCTCCCCCACCCAGTGTAAGTACAGGCCTTGCTGTTGTGGCCGTGGTATCGGCGGTGCATCTCTGGCTGAGATGGTCCTCCCAACCGAGCCCCGCAGTAGTTGCCTGTAACCTCAGCTCCACAAACCCCACACATGATCTCCATTAGACTCATCTGAAACGTGTTGACTAAATTGCAGGGACAGGAGAAGGGATGGAACCCAGAGGGCTCCCTGGCACAGTCTGCTGTCTGTGATGTTCCCAGTCTGTGAAGTGGGTAGGTGGGAATCAGTTATTTTATTGAGAACATTGTGTTCCAGCGCTCCTTCTTTTCCTCCGCTGCTTCTAAGTTCTGCAAACTCTTAAAGGGCGGAGCTTTCCTCCTTTCCACATAGCTCAAGAAGTCCACTAGTCAACACTCAAGCGTGTAACCCAGATATGGATGGAGGTTTGTCTCATTTGCTTACAGGAGAAACTGATTTTGGTTGGCGGGTTCGAGACGATCGCCTCCCTGTGTGTTTGTGCATTTGGGCGTACGTGTGTGTGTGTTTCTGTCCGAATGTGGTAGGTGGCGATGGGAAGATGCAAATCCAAGCGCTCACCTGTGAAATGTTTACTCTGGCTTGATGCAAACTGTGACAGCCAGGGCCCGACGAATGGTGTCTCAGGCAAATAAGGTGGAGGGAAGGAAAAAAGGGCAAAGAGAACTCCAGATGGTGCAGCTACGTGCTGATATCCCCAAAGAGACCTCTCCTCTCCTCAGTATTAAATAATCAGACTGGTTTTGGCGGTTTTAACGGTGGATGCTGTTAATATTAGGAGTCACTTTTGATAACTATGAGTAGGCGGCGGCTGCTGCTGCTGTGCATACCAAAGAATCGGAGACTCAAATGAACACAAATGATTTCCAGGTGTTTATTTAAGCACCAAGCCTTCTCAGTCCCAGCTTCAAGCTGAATGCAAATGACAATCACCTCTGTGCTGTGGAAGCGCGGTCCACAGCCTCCACAGCTTCATCTATGCCAGCGCTTCATCATGTCACAGCAGAGGGGTTTTGCATGTTCTCTACTTGTGACATGCAACACGAGATATGGGAAGTGGAATTTGTGATTGTAGAAAAACCTGAGATTTTACTAATGTATCAACAACCAAGGTGACATGATTACTTTGTTTATTTGTTAAGTAAATCTTTTTACTCAGAGATACATTATTTTTCCCTGTGACTTTCTAATCGCTACTGGTCTTTTGTGTCTATAGCTTATTTCAAATCTTCAAAGCACCAGTTTTGAAAATCATATTTCTATGTTCATCAATTGAGAATGAGGCTCTTAAGCCCCGTCTAAAGGTCTGCTTTGTGTCTGAAAGTGGCTCCTCTTTACAGTGGGAGTGGATGATTCAGCATGTCTGGTGTTGGTGGTTTCTGGGCAAGGCACGGATTAAAGGCAGTGGGGGCTGCTAAGAAAGCACAGACCCGCATCGGCTACAGACAAAGGAAAGAAAGACCGAGTAGGAGGGGAGGAAAAGGGGAGCCTTGGCAGTGGTGTTGGTGGAATGTAATGGGATGTAGTAAGGCTTTTCTCACTAAATAAAAACAGATCTTTGCCCTTATGTTGCATCCATGATGGTTTATTAAAATCCAGCCCCTTTAAGCAGAGTCACACAGTTGTTTTAGTGTAGAAATATGAGGAGCTGATGTTAGTTTCTCACCTGGCCATGACCTCAGATCCTCCTCCACCTTACATGTCTTCAGAGTGGGGGTGTCCATCTGCTCAGGCCACAAACCTGCAATAAAAAACAAATGAACCAACAGATCAATATTGGAATCATCCTGTTATAAGTTACATGCAGTCATTTACTCAATTCCTGTTCATGCAAGATTTTCTTTGTAAAATTATGAATTAAAATAAACTTGTTATGTTTAATATTCTCAACAATAAAAAAATAAGACTTGAAGTAAATGAAAAGCCCAGATTTTTCTCAAATATGTGTCGGTTGTGATTTATGCTTATAGCCGGAAAATCATTGTATTTGGCTTGAGAACATACAACACAATCCAAGTACCCTTTTTATGACAGACTGGCCCAAACTGTCCTGACACATGGCGGTTTGGAGATGTTTGTTCCTGTCACCGGTTGGCATCTGCTGACTGAGCTGTGAAGACTGGGAAGAGAAGGGGTGGGTTTCTCACCACAGTGAGACCAGGCTTGGAAAAACACGCTCCATGGGTGCCTATGAGGTATTTTTGGGACCTTCAGGCCAGACACTGGAGGAGGTGAGATCTCTGAAGGGTAGGACACTCAGTTGCCTGTCCAGCAGAGCTGTCAGGAGGCGAAGAAGAGGTCAAGGACCTGCTGGCCCAACGCGTGGGACCCAGCTTCACACCCGGCAGCTACACCGCAGCAGGCTCAAACAGCTGGTATTTATTCAACGTCTCAGATGGTATATTTTCTACAAGATAACCTGCACAAAGCTCTACGGACACGCGGGCTGTTTAACTCAATTATTAGGCAGCCAAATTAATCCCAAAGTTTTCTGCTTTTTTGTGACCAGAGCAGGTAACCGTGATTGTAATCCCACAAGAAAATTCCCAATCTCTGATTGTGACAACTAGTTCTTCTAATGATGCCAAAGGGCAGAGTGTGGGGGGGTGGGCACTGAGCTTTTCAGCCACAGGTTGTGTAAGATCTTTGCTTCCTCTGGAGCCCCTCTACTTCCTTTGCAAATGTCCAAATCAGCACTCAGCCACCGAGAGGTCCCTCGCTACGCCTCACAATGGCAAATTCTTACACATAAATGGCCTTATTCAGAAAAGCTTGCAAGCAGCTGGTGCGATTCGCTCAAGAAAATAAACATTTCCTTCAAATATTTTGATTGGCCAGCAGACAACATCAATACCAGAGGCACAGATTACCCCTGTTAATAGGAGGACTAGCCCCCTAGGAGGAGCTGAGGAGTGGGGAACGGTGAAGTGTTGACTGCGTCACTAATTAGGCCGCCCTGGGATGGTTTCGGCGCAATTTTGGGGATGACAAGAATTAATCCCCCTGCTTTTGAAGTTTATGTGCAGATGAAAGGGATGGCTGAGATGTTGCTTGAGCCAAAATGGCGTCCCGTCCTCATGACTCCGGATCTAGCAACGCCTCTGAGACATGTAATGCATTTGGCGTAATGAAGCGTGTCATTGAGACACAGTGAATACTGGTCCTTGTGTTGACTTCCTGTTTCGCTCAGGCCTTAGGCGTCGCACAGGGGAGAGAATGTGTGTATGAGAGAGGAAGACAGAAAGAAAGACGCCAAGCAAGGAAAGCAGAGAGAGAAGGAGAGCGTGTTACAGAGGGGAGGAACACGGCCTTGGCTCAGCTATGCGGGATATTTGATATGTCTTTTGAGCCCTCACTTATAACGTGAGCAAAAACAAACACACAGGCTAAAAAATCCTACATTTTCGCTCCCTCGCCCGCCCTTCCCGTCTCTCCCCTGACTCAATAGAGACTGTTCATGGCATACATGTAGTTTCTGTAATTGCTGAAATGTTAGACTCAGCCTCACTCTGATGTGAAATTATAACTTACACAAACAGTAGAGCCTGGTTTAAAAAAAGATCTCGCTCACTCTCACTTCTCCTTTTTCGTAGATTTTCACCAAGTCGGTGGCTTCAAAAGATTTCTCTTTTATACACAAACATTTTTAGTTTGAAAATTGATTTCTGGGTCACGAGAAAAAACAAAAAAAAAAACTAACCACAAGTAAAGCTTTCAGACACCATGACAAATAAACTCCGTGGCAGCCGCTGGCATATTATGTAAATATTTAAGTGCAGAAGTAAAACACGGCGTCTAAAAGACTCCAGATTCCTTCTTCTTTTTGGTGATGCTATCGTCAGACCATTCTGCCTTGGTTTGCCAGAAACCTAACGAGCATGACGCCTTCTCTCAAACCGGCCTGCCGCTACCTGACTGTGCTAATTTCCTGCCCTGCTACCGCTTCTAATTGGCTTATCATGTCACTCTCAACGTGTGAATTAGTTGTGTGCCTCCCGGCCGAGGCGCCGGCAAGCGGTGCCCCCTCAAACCCGGGGGTCTGGCCGGCTTGTTTATGCGGAGTAAACAGTGTGGTCGCTGTGGACGAGTCAGGAGGAGGTACAACTGTACTAAAAACCTTCTCAAGTTAAGTCCAGGCCAGAGGCCACGGCGTTAGGATACAGAGTCCAACTGCCAAAGCACAGCTGCAGCAGATGAGTGCCAGTTCAGAGAAATGGAGCCAGAAGTAACAACATTTGGATTGAGTATCATACATGGAAAGGATTTACTCTTTCCTATGTACGAAGCCATGCAAAATATTCATACTTCTGTGTATTTGGGATTTCACATGATCGAACTACACAGAATAGAACATAATATATAAAAAAGAAATTTGATGGATAGGTTTTAAACTATATTCGGATTAAAATCTGTAAAAAATGGCATACCTCCTGTAGACTAGCTTTGGTCAGCTACATTATGTTTGAAATGGTGATTCTGACAGGGAAAATGTTTTTTTGTTTTTTTCAGATACCAGGAATGCATGTTCAGCAATACTAATACATATCAAACTGGCTTGCCATAGCCTGTTGTGACCACAGTAATTATTTCTTGAATGGTAGTGAAACATTTGATCTATTTAGGTGAAATCACCTGGCAGCAGGTGAGGATGAGGTCTAGAAAAATAGTTTTAATATATAGAACCTGTTCATCATCTCATGGGTTCCTCCTCATGTTCATTCAGTCTTCCATCACACAGTTAATACTGAGTGCCTGTTTGCAGCCGCACTTCAGATGTCATCATCCCAATAAATGGCTGTTATTAGCGGCTATCAGTCCCATAGAATGGCTTCAGATTGTGGCAGTAGGTCCAGTAGGTTGTTATCATCGAGTGAATCCTAATCCTAACCCTAAAGTAATTTTTTCCCCCCCTGTGGAATAAATGAATCTATTCATGTGTAATCTGACAATAATTTCAGTAGTTCTTCATGTACTGTAAATATAACTAAATAAAAAGTCAGATCGGGTGGAAAGCATTCTCCCGTTAGATGCTGCTACCGCTATGTTTCACTGTGGTGATGATGTGTTTGTGGTTATGTGTGGTGAGTTTTTTTTTTTTTTATGGGTTAAATGGCTCAATTCATGCGCTAAACAGATTTAACAGATTCTGCTACCTGAGCTGTGGATAGCTGCAGCTCCCCCAGAGTTAGCCATCTGCTATTCCTCATGTTGCTTTTTTTTTCTTTATTGCTAAAATTTGATTATCACCTTTAGTCTATTTAGTAATTAAGTGGGACAGTAGTTCCATTAGATTTTATTTATTGGTGTCAGAGTATCGGGCCACATTTTTAGGTTTTTGTTCAGAAAATTAAATTAAATTGAAACTGTTTTTTCCACCACTTCATCATTTATGCAGTAACCCTTGTTTGCCTTACAGCATGAAATCCCCATAAATGACAGAGGTTTGTGGTTCTATCTGGACTAAATGCAAAGCTTTTTGCAAGCGGTTGTTCAAATACGAGCATGGTTTGAAAAATGAATTGAAGCAGGATTGTATCAGTTCTGTAAGGTTTTAGCAGCAGATATTGATACCGTCACCACACATAGCGAGACGCCCAGAAAGGCTTTGGAGCCCTCATCAAAGCTCTGGATGGTGGAACGTTACGCTTTGGGTCTGATATTCATCTTCACAGGGGGAACACACAGGTGTTGGAACAAATAACATGTCAAATGACACCACCTCAAAAGTGCCAACACTTTCTGTTTGGATGATTAAATTGCTGCTGCGTTTCCTCTCCCCCCCTTCTTAACTGTTAAAGCAAGAAAAAGTAAAAAAAAAAACGTCTGTTAGAGCTCATGCCAGGAGCATGTTGAGTTTTGTCTGGAATAAGGTAAAAACTAAAATCTGTTGTTTTTTTTTCACTCTTTGAGCTAAAACACTTCTTTAATCATGCCTTCTGCCTTTCTTTTAGACTGGAAATACCTGTGTACACACACTCCAGTGCTGTCAAACTCACATGAACCTGGAGCAAGGGAAAAAAAGAAAACGATGCCACCCACAGATGCATGCGGCTACACATGTATCTCACTTGAGGTTTTGAAAACCAGAATAACAATTTAGTGCTTGATTGTCTGAGTGTCAGATTTGCTTGGCTGCACCGGGCGAACCACACATTTTCAAATACACACACACACACACACACACACACCCCTCTCCCCCGGCAGAGTATCATTCCACATGTCTAGTACGCTTACCTGTGGCCACCGAATAACAAAAACAAGCAGCGAATGCGGCGTCTGCCAGCAAGCAGGAATCCTGTCACTGCATGCACTGTAATGAGCTCTTAATTACTCCGTCTGTCTCGTGCGCCAACAGAAAACTTACACCATCTGTGTGTGTGGGGGTGTACCTGTTTAGCCATTAGACTGAGGACCATTTTTCCAATTTCACCATCAAATTGGGGACCAGTTGTTGCAAAGTGAGCACATTTTGGCAGTCCTCACATGCTATTTCGCAAATGGTTAGTTTTCGGCCTAAGGTGTCAATTGGTTAGGGTGAGGTATGCATTGGTAATGGTTAGGGTTTGTTTTAGGGTTAGGGCATAGAAAGGGTTGAAAATGACTGAAAATCAACACATGGTCCTCACTACGATGGGAGAACGAGTATGGGTGTGTGTGTGAGAGAGAAACGTTTTTATTATTATTTTTCACTTTTATTTTTCATGGTGCAACTCTGTGATTTAAGATTTTGCACAGATGTCTGAAGACGCGTCCTGCTGACAACAGAACAGACGGTATTTCACAGCCCAGACGACGGAATGAAGCAAGAAGGATTTGAAGAGAGGTGACACCATATTTTCCCTCCTCTTCTTTTTCTGGTCGTTCTCAGGGGGGAAAATGTAGGATAATGGAAAACATCTTTTGTAACAGCGAGGCGGGAATCCATTTAATTATAACTTGCTGATGGGTGATCTGTCATTCAGCAATACTCAAACAAACAGGCCTCGCGATTTAAAGTATCAGCGGAGCATAAGAGCCTCTGGCGTAGCTGTAAAAAGCAGAGACGTGCGTGTTGTTGATATGTAAACACCTCCCCACGTCTCTTGGTGGGATTTATTACAACTAGTCTATTTTTGTTAGAGCTTTGCTTCTAATTCTGCAGCCCTTGTTGTCCGCACGTACTGGATGCTGCTCAGCAAAGAAGTAGTAGGGAGGGCCCGGCCATCTTGCTTTTTTATTTAATTATTTTACCACTCTTGCCCTCGGGTGTGGGATATAAAACGCTAATACCACAGATTAAGGTGTGTGGTTTTTACGGCCCTTCCCCTCCTTTGCAGCTGTAACACGAAGCTCAAGGTCTTCAGCGTGTCTGACACTTCCAGCTGATGTTAACATGTTTTGTCGGCCCTCCGTATATATTCGCCGCGCGAGTGTGTGTTGCGACACAGCAGCCCTTTGAAGACTCGAAAGCCTGTGATGCTCTAATTCCCGTCCTAATCCTGCGCGAGGAGTCTGCCGTCTGGACTGTGTCTGCACACCTCTGCGCCCCGCAGATTCAAGACAGTCCTCAGAAGCTTAAAGCTCCCAGTATAAGCCTAGCTGCAGGGGACTTTCTGCTGGCAGACAACCCACAGAGCTTCTGCCAAAACAGAAAATTACCATCATAGTGGCAGCATTGTGCACTGTACATAAAAAAAGGAGCAAACCATTTCAGAGTTTAGCGGTTGCTGCTGTTTCTAAAATGACTGATGTGTTTTCATCCCAGCACAGAATGTGCAGGGAAACAACATTTGAGGTAACAGAAAGTAAGGACATGGGGCAGAATAGGTGAAGCACCCTGTGTTCCCAGCAGTCAGCTGTTAGATTAGGCCCAAACTGGTGACTCAGCGCTGCCTAAGCTTAAGCACAAGGCCAAACACTGTACGGCTGTGATGCACTGAGATAGGGCCGTGCCCACGCACAGCTCCCAAACAAACCCTCCTGTCCGCAGCAACACGCTTGCACAGAGGTAATGAGAATCATTAGGCAGCATGAGAACTTGGGAGTGGGCGGGAGGGGAGTGAACACATTTATCCAGCATGCTTCCAGATATCCCACTGAAGAGGCGCTGACACATGATGAGGAATGAAGACTCATCCTCAGCCCGGCCGTCATCCAGGCAGCTGTTCACACACACACACACAGCAATGATAACAGAAAAAAGAAATTCCTACCACCTCAGTCTAAGTCACAGTCTTCCTGCCACCCCCACACATTTGACCAATCTGAGAGTGACGCTAGTGCCAAGGTAGCGGACGGCTGTTACATTCCCGATGCTGTAATGTGAGGTTGAGTCGACTGGCAGGACTGGCTGTGTCACCTGGCAGTTGGTTCTGTGGGTTTGGGGGTTATCTAGGACAAACCCACCCCCGCCCCCTTGACACATTCACAGCCAACTCAAACTCAGTCTGAATGCCTCTTCCTAAACCCCTCCACAGCATTCCAGCTCTACATAGACTGTGCTGCAGATTATTTCAACCGGTTTCTCTGGGTGAGGAGATTATTTTTTGGTGCTGTGTTTTCATTTAGAGGAGGTTGGCTCTGAATGTCTTAAGTACCCACCTTGCGTGGTGCTGAGATGCGTCTGATGGATGGGGCGGGGGTTGTTGTTCACTGGGCCTATCCGCATAGTCCGCTGGTAGCGCTCGATTTCTGATAGCCGGTCAGAGAACTGCATCTTTGTGGTGTCTTCCATCTTCACTCTGTGCCCTGAAAGAGTGAGAAACATGCAACTTTAAATTTTTTTGCAAAGACAGATTTAACTTTTCTAAAGAAAAATTTAGTTATTTTAATATCAACAAATATTAGGAAGTTTACTTATTAATTATTAGATTAAAAAAATGACACCTATGCATCACATAGATTCTTTCCACGCAAAAAATATTTCCAGTATTTATTTCACTGGAAATAAGTAAAAAAAGTCTTAAATTAAGTGTATATACCCTTAATTTGAGTAGGCAAATTAGATAGCTTGCCAATGGAATGGATACTTTTGCTCTTAAAATAAGATAATTAGATAATATGCACTTGAAATAAGACCATGCAATTGTTTTTTTCTTATTTTAAGAGCAAATTGTCTTGTTCTATTGGCAAAATGTCTCTTTTACCTCCTCAATCCAAGAACTAATGTACTTATTTTAAGAAAAAAATTACTTAAATTAAGTTTTTTTCCAGTGTATGTATTAATTAGCTGTTATAAAGCTAATATATTAGAAAATAAGAGGTTTTATATGTTACAGATTTCCTTTATTCATTAAAACCCCAGACTCAAGTTGTCCGACACACATAAAAGGCCATTGCTCATGCTGGGAGTTAAGAGTGCTGCATCCAAGTATTTAAATGAAAAGTTTAGTGGAAGAAAAAAGTGTATCTCCTGCACCATATGGTGTCTAAACTGGAAAAAAAAAATCAAAATCTAGATAAGTCATTTTTTTATTAAAATAAATGCATTTTTTTTCTTGAATTGAGGAAGAAAGTGAGACACTTTGCCAATGAAACAAGACCATTTACATTTAAAATAAGATAAAAAGAATTGCATCGTCTTTCTTTTAAGTGCATATCATCTAATTATTGTATTTGAAGAGCAAAAATATTCATTGCATTGGCAGATCGCCTTATTCACCTACTCAAATTAAAGGCAAATACACTTAATTTAAGAAATTTTAGCTTATTTCTAGATTGTTTTTGCAGTGTAACGTTGCTGGAAACACAGATTTGCTGTTTAGATTCTTTAGATGTTTGATGCAAATCTGTTTCCATTTCCCTATATTGGCTTTTATATCAATGAAAATTCAATCGCATTAATATTAAAGCTTAGAGAGAAAATGCATCTGTTGGCTAAGAAATGGTGTCAGCGGCACAAAGTTTGCCCCCTTTCATTAATCCAAGATAAGCATTTGTAAAGAGGAAGCCACTGTTGCCATGTTTTCAGCTGCCAAACACAAAAATATTATTAGAATGTCAGCAGACCTTGAAATACATCGGCTAGACACTAACTAAATGTTGCTCAAGCTGCACCTGCTGCCACGTCATCGGCAGATAACGATAGTGTAAGTTGTTGAAAATAATAGCTGGAGGAATGTTTTTTTTTCCCGAACCTGAAGTCTAATAAAGTGTGAATAACTGCATTAGGCATATCTGCAAAGAGATGAGGTTAAATGATCTTTATCTTTACTACCTCAATTGAAAGGAAAGCAAAAAAGGTGACTACATCTACCCCTAATAACATGCCCTTCTCTCACTCTCTCACAGAGACACTCACAGCCCTTCACAAACACAAATTGAGGTCTAACTGACACAGCACTTAGTCATAAGGGAGCACCCAGACAAGGTTATGAGACCTACAGTCATCAGTCTTCAACAAAACAGAAAAAAAAAACATGGAAGAGGGAGATGCTTATATGCACATACGGTATAAACCTGAACATGTCCAGTGTGGACGTGTCCAGGAGGTAAAGACCAACTCCAAGAAGAACAAGTGACTCATTTCTGCTGCACCTACAAAACTAACCAACGCACTGAGTGCCCTTACCACTCTGCGGTCCTCTTTGGGGAGCCGTTCTGATTACGCGGACGGACGCATGTGTATTTGCACATGCACAGGCTTCACATGTGAACACACCTTAAATGTCAGTCGTGAGTGCGGATGCCTCTAATGGGGAGAAGAGATTTTAATGTAACTATCAACGCACCAAAACTGTGTGTGTCAACCAGCATGTATACATTCTGTGGTTTTCTCCCTGGCATCTCTACAGAGTAGCCTAATGTGGAGTAATGGCTGTATTTGAATATTTTATCACTATATAAAGAGGGCAGGGCAGACGGACCAATATGGATTTTGCCCGTCCTTTCTCTCAACTGACCCATGGGCAATATATCTTCGCTCGGAGGCTGACCCATGGGTAAAGTTTCCTCCTGTTTACCGCTCTGTCCATTTGTTTGGGCCAACCGCCTCCCTTTAATCTCCTTCTTAAAAACTATAGAGAAATGTCAAGCTTTGACGCCCCCTAGGACGTATTTTTATATTATAGTCTGCAAGTTTTAAAGGGCGTTCACCAGTCACACTGAAGAAACAATCTATAAATAAGTAAATATTTCTTAAATCAAGTGTATTTGCCCTTAATTTTAGTAGGTAAATAAGATGATTTGTCAATTGAATGAGTATTTTTACTCTTAAAATAAGATAATTAGATAATATGCACTTGTAATAAGACAATGCAGTTGCTTTTTCTTATTTTAAATATAAATTGTCTTGTTCCATTGGCAAAGTATCTCGCTTATCTCCGCAATTGAAGACAAAATGCACTTATTTTAAGAAGAAATTACTTGATTTCATTTTTTTAGCAGTGCAAGATTGTTATCCTGCTGATTTTCTTTTGTGACTGTGTAATAAAAGACAAATGTGCTGCACATTCTATGTTTACTGCACTTTGATCTTGTTTCTTTATACTTTCACTTATTTACCATCCTTGTCTCTAATACAACTCCATTATGTCTGCCACACTGTTTTTGTGTTTTGATGTCTTTCACAGATGCTACTAAAGAAATGGGAACAAGCTGTTTTTTTGATAAGAACTTTGAAAACAAAGTGCCTAAGGATAAAATAAAAAATGAGGCTTTTGTTAATTTGTGTTAGAGTGTCAACAGCAGACCAGTTTGTTACTCTGGTTCAGAGGAGTTTCGATTGTTATAAAGATGACTGAGTTCACTGAACAAGCCTATTTTCTGTTTTATGCAATAGTTTTAAATCAACAACTAGGAATTTTTTCAGCATCTTTAATGAAGCATTTCCCTGTCTAGGTTTAAGTATGTCACTTAATTCTACATTGGCCAAAGGATAAAAATCAATCCTTTCTCCTGTTATGTGCTTAACTAAAATAAAGATTAACATAACTTAAACTTTGTTTATAAGATTCTCTGTTTATCGAACAATCCTTCAGATTGAATATTTAGGATTTGCAACTGGATACAATTGAATACAGCTCACCGTTATCCAGTAGCACTACTCTAACTTAGTAAAAAATGCATCTTTTCCAAAATAAGAGCCTTAAAACATAGGCGAGCTTTACATATATATTATAAATTTTTATGGGATGTTATATTCGTCTCAGAAGTCATAGATTGGATGTTTTATTGAATTTTTCAGCTGCATGTTAGGAAAACTATGGGTTTTGCTGATTTATGCAGTGCTAACTACTATTAGCAGGAGGTTAATGTAGTAAAACACCTCATTAAAATATGCTCATAAATAGGTTAGTGGTTTTAACCCTTTATTAAAGCCTGAACCATGAAAAAATTGAAAGAAATTAGAATGTCATTGAACTTTCTGAATGCTGTTGTATAAGTTAAATTAGATCGTTTATATGCATCAAATTTGTTACATTAGGCAATTCCGTGTAATCTTTTATACTTTTTCTGTTCACTACATGTATCTGAATATTTAAGACATTATTTCAACAACAAAAACATTCCACTGATGATGCAGAAGTCTCAAAAACTCATGTATCAAATATGATACACTTACTTTAAAGGGTTAATGAGATCCATATTACCAGACTTACAGGTAATTGGTTAATATCTCCAACTTTCACTAGTAAAATAAAGTTTGGAATTACAGTTTCAGTTTTGACATCACTCTTTCAGAATGTCCAGCTGAAGCTGACGGCTACTGGGTACCGACTTTTAGGATGAGTTCACCAACAACAAGAACTTTTAGGTTGTTTCAATTTTGTGTTTCACTCCTAAATTTTCAACATCGGAATGATTCATAGGTAAGAAGTAGGTACCTAACCTTAACTAACCTTAATTTACAATGGAAAAAAGCTTTAAAAAACATTCAAAACTGTTAAAATGGTGAGCAAGACCTGAGTACTATATCTGACTCATTGGAGAAAATATAACAATGAGGGATAATGAGTGAGAATCTAGTAGTAGAGAACTCCAGGGTGTTTTTTATGTTCTGATCAGCAGCAACCTTGAACTTTACAAGTTTTAGAAAGACTCAGTTATGACTAATCTACCAGAGCAGGGGCTGCAGCTCTTCTGTTGCTCTGAAGCAGCTTGATTTCCTGAACATAATGACACCAAAGGAAAAGATAGTCTGCCTTTTTGACGGTTTGGTCTGTGCCGTTACTTGGGAACACCCCCTTCCTAGTTCTCTCTCTGATATCTCTTTATTCAAATCCTTTGCAGTCTTCTCTTTAAACTGTGATGGAAGGAATGAGGGCCGGCGTTTTCTGTGTGTGACATACAGAGACTACTGTCGGTTCCAGACCAGCGCAGTGCCAGGCAGGGGTAGCAGCCCTCCAAATATAGCCCCTATATGTGTCCTTGTGTAGTTATTAAGAGATTTACTCCACCTCAAACGGCTGAGGTCAGGGAAATGATACATCCCACTGCTCTCTGGCTGGCAAGAAAAAGCAGACGCCACAGAGAGGGAAAAAAATAATTGGTCAGTTTTTCTGTTTCCAGTGGTGGTCTGAGATGAATTGGCTCTTTAGAGATGAAAGTGATCATTCAGCCGCCCACAGACACACACACACACACACAAACTCGAGCTACAGATCCTATGGCCCAGTTCCAGCTGGCAGTGATGCACGCTGACACACGATGCATGTGGCGCGATGTTCACAGCATCCAGCAGGGGGTTTAGTGAGATGTTTTATTTCATTTTTATTTTTGGGAGGAGTGGGTGAGATTTAGATGCAAAA